AGAAAGATGTTAAACATTAAAAGTTAAACTTTATTTTTATCAGTGTTGAAACATTTGGTTGATTTTATCTGGGGGAAGAGTTCCATTCTGTTCTTTATTTATTCATTCATTGAACTAATGATGATCCATTCAAGCCGTTGGTCGGCTTTTCTTATCATCATTGATCTGGGAATATCTACAAACCTTGAATACTGCAGCATCACAACCAGACAGCCTTACAAAACCCAAAACCATTTATTAGTCCAGACAGCCTTACAAAACCCAAAACCATTTATTAGTCCAGACAGCCTCCATGATGAGACTTGGAACGTTTTTTTCTAATATTAAATAAAGATGTGAGTCGTATTGTTTTTACACATTTTTCACAATTATTACCTTCCCTCTATCTTTCAGCAGAGGAGCCTTAACTGTGCAAATCTTTCTAATGTTTTATCTAATTTTTATTTTCTTGGGAGAATTAAAAAAAGAGGATTAAACATATTAACTGCAGCAGCATCGTCTTACATATCTAGCTGTGTTGCATCATTTGTATTTTTTCTTTCTAACTTGTTACCTTCTAACCCAGAAATAATATTGGAAATATTGCCCTGAACAAATGAAACTTTAAGTGGCTGCATTGAAAAAGGCAGTTGTGGGATTGAAACAGATTAATTGAATGTTAATCTGTGTGATGTATTGAAATCTTACTAAATTGAAGTGAGAATACAGCACCAGTGTGAAAATAATCTGAAAAATATGGTAGGGGAACAGGAAAAAAAAGACTACAGCTGTCAACTTTAAGATATTTTAAATGGACATCAGATATCAGGAGCAGAAAGTTGTGTTTTATAATGTTATCATGTTACAATACAGACACTTCATGGACTGAAGATCTCCAGAGACAAATAATCCTGTGTGGATTATCAGACATTCATGCCATTACTGTCAACTAGCAGTCTAACACCATCACATTCTGCATTTTGATGCAGTTTTCTTTACAACAGAGCTGTTTAATGCATGTTTGTTTTTATGACATATAATTATTCATATAATCTGTTTTTTTATATTTGTATTACATAAAATCTCCTCCCAGTTTTTTTTTTTTTTATACTGTATGCTAAAAAGTTCAGCATGACCTCATTAGAAGGTGACCTTCAGGTTAGTTTTTTCTCACTTATCTCTTTGTTAGATAATATTGACAGCAGCATGTCAAATACCTGCTTGCATTTCCCAGCAATAGCTGTGACGGTATGCAAAGAATGTCACCTGTGTGACAGCTACTGTAGAAATTCCTACTTGCAGCTGGTATTCCAGAGTATTGCACTGGTAAATTATGCAAGGTTGGTGCATGCAGACATGCTGGTTAGCACCTTTAACCCTGCAGCATGGCGTCAGGTTAACCTGAGACTAGAAGTCAGCAATGTAAACCATATGAAGCAGACTTTTATCTTCACTAAACAGTGTTCAGAGCTAAACGCTTAATACTTCAAAGCTCTATTGAGTTTGTAAGCCTTTAGTGTCAAGAAGGCATCACACAGAAAACAAGACATATTAATTTACCAGGAAAGATTGATTTAAGGCGTAAATAGATGGAAGGGGAAGCCTGTTTAATGACCATGCTGGATAAGGAGCACTAAGGGCTGCTACTTGGACTCTGGAGAAGGGGAAATCCATCCATCCATCCATCCATCCATCCATCCATCCATCCATCCATCCATCCATCCATCCATCCATCCATCCAGACTCCCCAGAGGAAACAGGAAAGCGAGGAGTTTCCCAGACTTGCCGTTTATTCCTCCGTTGCCTGGTAGTCATTAAACGCTTGGCTAATCAACGTCTAGCTCCTCTCCTGAGCAGCAGCGGCAGCTCTGTGAGAGCTTCTAATGAAGACGGACGAGGGTGGAAGTTTGAGGCGCAGACGGATGGTTTCAGATCATCAGCTGCTGTGGAGAAGTGGTGGTGGCTGTCTGCTGCAGTTATGCTGTCCTAATCAGACATATTGATAGGTTGCTGTAGGGGATTCATTTCTATGGATGTCTGGTAAATTGCTTTTGAGGCTTTTACTGCTAAAAGTAAAAAAAAATAAAGCAGTCCAGTGATTTTTCAACGGGCTCATTAGTGTTCATATAATTGGATTAGTTTCCAAAGCAATCAGAGTTTTGAAGTAGTTTGTTTCCTGGACCTGTTGCATTCCTCACAAGTTTCTGGAGACTATTAATAGTCTCTCTGCTGACTCATGCATGTCTGACTGCCATGTCATAGATCCGAAGGTTTCAACACCTAACATTTATCATTTAACCTTGGTAGGAGTCTGGTTTTGGCAGAAATTGTGGGAAATGATTTTTATTACCTTTACAACTGTTTGTATTGTGTTTAGAAAGGGTAGGATGTTAAAAGGATGCTTCACTTTTATGCTTTTTTACATATTTTAGTTGGCTTAGGGAGTTTTATTTGCTTTCTTGAGTTGTTAGATTTGTTTTGAATCAGCAGTCTTGGAAAACAGACTGAAAGACTGTGAGCCACAAGAACCAGCGATGAAGACCGCTGAATTATTCCACCCAAAGGGAATGAAAGTCAGCCAAAGTCCATAGAAAAATACCCCCAGAAAGACTAGAGACGTCTTTAAAGAGAGAAAACCCAGAGGAAAGACTTTTGTTTTTCACTCCTACTTTAGCGGTTTTGAATTTCCATAATTTATCAAAAGAGGGACCAAGAAGTTTATATGAAAATAAAACGAAGCATTTATCAGATTAATCGATGACCCGTGAGGGTGATATGTTTTAGTTATAAAGTAAAGTTCACTGAGGTGTGGACCTAAGTTTACTGCTCTTTTTAAAATCCCCATTTGTTCCAAAATGTGAATTTAAAGCTTTTTTTCCTCCTTTATGAAGAGCTAGCTTTGTATATTCATTTGACTTTGTTTTCTATGTTTGAAGATGTTTTGCTTCCCATCCAGAAAGCTTACTCAATTAAAAAAGTCTGGAGTAATGTTGATTTCCAGGCTTATAGAGTGTCCCAAACAAAAGCCCTGTTATGGCTTAGAAAGCATTCAAATTGAACCGAAAAACAGGTCCACCCATTGGTAATGGGAAGTCATTGAGGTCGCTGTTATCCTACAAAACCTGATGCTGGCCCATGCCTCTATAAAGGGGAGTCGTTAGGGTCGATGTTGGCCTGGTTAAACAGTCAAGATGTTTTGGTCCCCTGCATAGTGATGACGATTGACATGATAGAGTCCACCCCCTCTGTTTAATGTTGGTTTTTCTCTCTCAATATAAATGGCTTCCTTCATGCCCCTTTCAAACCACCAGGGTGGTTGGCCATAACAAGGCTTTTGTTTGTGCCTCTCTATAAGCCTGGAGCTCAACACTTCTCCAAATATTTTTAATTGACAAAGCTTTTTTGGTGGGAAGTGAAACATCTTGAAGCTAGGGAAAGAAAGTCCAGTGGTTTGTTTTTTAACCTTTTTGGAATGACTATGACCTGGATAACTGACCCCCAGATTCCACATACTCTGTCAGTGCTCCGCCCCGCTCACGTACGTCGTGCGGATTACTTGTCTGTCATGTTAATCAGTGAGAGCTGTTCCACATCCTCCGCTACTCCTCTGCATGTCACTGTCCACATAAGTCTTCTCCGTCTGCCACTGTCGAAATACGGAGCAGAGCTATTTTTTGCTCCGCTCTGGTCCGATCAGGTCAATATCCGCAATTGCAATCACACCAAACAGGAAAAAGAGAAGAAGATCCGATTTGTCAAATTAAAAAATATTAATGACAGATCAGTGACTAAAAATTAGAGTATATTTTTCTAATATATTCCCAAAAACTAAGAGCGTTTAATGGAATGATTGGACGCAAACTATTGGTACTTCATCATAGCAGGAAGCAGATTTCTCATCTGCATCAAATTATTTATTTTACACTGAGAGGCTTAAAAGTTTAATCAAATCCATTCAATAGAAACTTATTTTTGCGGGAATGGATGAAGAGATGCTGAGTTTGGAGGTAGAGAAGAAACGAAGTTCATAAAAAAGCTAAAAAAAAAAAGTTATCCCTGTTACAAAAATCTACAACAAAAATAAAATATTTGGACAGAAACTGCACATATACTTGATGCTGATGGGGATTTTTTTAATGCGTCATATTAAATTAAGCCTTCATTTCCACATGTTTTGCTCCTATGAATTTAATAATAATATCGCTCATGCTCTTCTGGAGCTCAGAGGAAATTGGATCGGAGCAAGATGGGAGGAACAATGGAGCCTGTAGGCTTTGCTTTGGGGAGGCGGTCTGGAGCGTAGCGGGGCGGATCGGAGGGGGGCGCTGACGGAGGATGTAGGATTTCAGGGTGAGAATCTTCACCACTATATTCATTAGAGTTTTAGTTAATTCTGGTGCTATGAATCTTTCCACAAATCCCATTTTAGAATCAACAGATGAAACTCTTCCATCAGTAAAAAGGCTGTTACTATTTCAGTAGGAAAAAAATAATTTTGGCAAAATATCCTGATTATTGGCTGCCTGATATATATCGATCTTTTAGTTCCTAGTATCGATTTTTTTTTTAAAGCAAAACATTTTTCCCTAAAACTGAGGGAAAATGGGCTGTGGAGCCCTTTAGCTGTTGGGCGTCATGTCTGTAGTTTTAGGCAGTCAGTGGAAGATAAGGACTGACTACAACCCAAACAACATGGATCCCACAATAACTGAATGATCAATATCATCTGATGAGCATATAAAAGGTTTGCCATTTTATCTATACATTTAATTTTGATAGCAGGAAAAATATCGCAATGTAAGGTGATAACGTAATCACCATTGCAATATCATAATTGCTAACCCTAACCCCAGCTCGCAACATCCCTGCCAATACTCACCCCTATATTTCACCCAAATCTTGTGTCACCAGCATCTGTCAAAAATTTGAAAAACATTTTTTTTTTACATCAGCTCTGCTGTCTTCCACCTCAGTGGTTAATAAAGTGAAGGTGTTGAGTTGACCCACATCTCCTTTTCCAGGAATGGATCCCTCCATGGGCCAGGAGCGGAGAACACCGGTCACCCCTTCCTCGTCCTCCCGCTATAACCGACGGCGGTCCTCAGGCTCCCGGGATGAACGCTACAGATCAGGTAGCCAAACGTTTACGGTTTGTTTCTAATGGTAAACATCTAAGCTGCTGCTGCCTTTTAATCATCAAACAGATCCACGAACACACAACACAAAGAGCTATAACAGGTTGTATTTAAACGTTGGTAATCCAATAACATTTAGTTTAGACTTAGACAATGTTTGTCATTTTGTGTACTGTATACAATTTCTTTTAGTGCAGCTTTTCTGACATTAAATTAACGTTTCCATCCCATAAAGTGCTGCAGCAGGGATCAAATGTAAACAGAATAGGAGACAAAACATGATGCAAAAAAGTTTCTTCAGTGTTTGATCTGATGTCTTTAAGGGAGTGACTAGTTTTTGAGTAAGATGAGATTACTGTTAAACTGTAAATCACCCTGATTTAAAAGCATGGCTTCGTACAAAGACACTTTTTGCAAAAGAGACTAAAATGGTTGGTTTAAATAGACCCTGAGGGGCGGGGCTACGTGTGGGAATGAATGATCAGGGTTTAGAAGAAATGTGGATATGAGAGGATGGCAACAAGCGCCATCATCACCCATTTCATGTATAAAGCCCTTTAACGACAGACAAAGTGAAGCAAAGTGCTGTACATCAAAGGTGTCACAAAGGAGGTGGTTGTTAGACAGGACCCAAATGCAGACAAAGCTTGAGGTGGTTACTTGAATGTTTAATTAAACAAAAGTTCAACAAAAGCAAAATCCAAAACATAAATCCACAAGAATCCAAAAATGCTCACAAGGGGACAAAGTAATGACGACAAACCAGCAAAGACTGACTGAACAAGAGGAGATTATATGGGAGAGAGAAACAAAAACCAGGCTGATTAGCAGATTGGGAGCAGGTGTGAACAGAAGCTAGAAGGGAACTAAGGAAAAGGAGACTGACACAAGAGTGCAAACAGGAAATATCTAAGAACTCAAATACAATAAAAAATACCTAGAACACAAGAATCAAAATAAGGCCCCGTCCACACGAAGTCAAAACGAACACGAAACGCTGATATTTTCCAAAACGTTTGCCGTAAAGACGGAGACGTAAAATAAATGTGAGCGTCCACACGAATGCATGAAAACTCTGCAAAATGTATGCCAGGCCTGTAAGTGGCGCTGTGGTGCCAAAGCAAAAATAAGCGACGAAATGTTGGGCATGCGCACTAACATTTATACATGTTTGCCCTGCAGGCCCATTTTCGTGGTTAAGTCAAATTCAGGTGCTGAACTATGTCGTCGATATTGCTCTGTTCTTCCGGGAGATATTCCAGAAGAAGAAGATTCTGTTGTAAGCCCGACAGCAGGGTGAGTAGCATTAGCAGCAACGGCGCCATTGTTGTTGTGATGTGTCGCGCATGCGTGTTTAGAGGCGACGCTATGACGCATGCGTGTAAAAAAAAAAATGCGGTTAGAGCGTAAAGATGGAAACGCGAAAACAGCGTTTCAGAATCTTCCCACTCTGAAGGCTGAATAAAAAAAAGATTGTTTACAGATCCCCGAAACGCCGGCTTCGTGTGGATGAGAGGCTGGTTTGGTGAAAAATGTGTGCGTTTAGGCCAGGGTTCGTCTTCGTGTGGACGGGGCCTAAGACTAATGGAAACTTAGGCTACTTTCACACTGCAGGCCTTGATGCTCAATTTCGATTTTTTTGCGTTGCCGTTCATATTTCCAAATATATGCGACTTATGTCTGGAATTAATGGCGTTCAGCTTGGATGAATGCGACCTGGCCGTTCAGACAGAGGTCGCATTTGATAGGACCAGATTCGTATCGGGTTCAGGACCACATAGCCAAGTGGCCTGAGTCGCATTGGAAAAAATCGGATCTGTGTTGTTTAGACAGCCGTGAAAAGATCAGATCCAGGTCGCATATGGGCAAAAAAATCAGATTTGGGTCACTTCAGGCTGCAGTGTGAACGTAGCCTTAGATACAACTAGAAGTAAACCATGACAAAAGGTAACAATGAGGAAACACAGAAAACCCTTACTGTAGTCTAATAAGATAACGTATATCAACAACATACATAGAATAAGAACAATAAAATTCGACAAAGCAATAAAAAGATGAAATTAGCAATGAAAGAGAGTAAGCGAAATTAAAAGAAAACTAAAATCAACTCTCAGCTGGTTTGAAAGCGAATGTGTAAAGATACAGAGGCCAGGCTGTTAAAAACCTTGAAGATATAGAAAAAGATTTTAAAATAACTCTTAAAATACTCTATCAAGAGAAGCCAAACTAGATAAAAGACAATCAGCAGCATTCTAAATTTATTTGATGAATCATTAAAAAAATACACTCTGTTGTCAATTTCAGTCAAAGATAAAGAAAGACTAAAATTTTAATCCAGATTAAAATCTCCCATCTTCTTCATAAACATGAAGTAAACAGGCATCTACAAACTGCATCCATCCTGACTGATGTCCCACTTATGTCGACATGTTTCCTCTGTATTCTGTGTCGTTGGGTTGCCTTCTGAAGGCACCAGGCGCCTCCAAATAAATCCAGCTGTGGCCAAGGCTAGTTCATTAATAGAGCACATTTCAGTGGCAAGGCGATTAATAGTGCTTTACAAAAGAGAAAAAAGCGTTAAAGAAGGTTAAATTAAGTTAACTATGTATCAAAGAAAAGATTAATAAAATAGAAAGGAGTAAGACTGTAAACTTAACTAATAATGTTCAGATAGCAGTCAAAATCTGATCCAAACAAATTGTTTTTGTTATCAAAATGTAAAACAACTGAGGGCTTTGGGTTTTTTACAGTTTTCTGAGACTGTATTCTAGATTTGTGGACTTTCTAATTTCAGTTGCAATTTTTTTTTTTTTCCCCTATGTCAACTGAAAATGGTGCTTAAAGAAAGCCTCCTTCTATGCATACATCTGTGTATATTTTGTTCAACTTTTGCCCCAGTGCACTGCGAATTGAAACAATGCTGTGAATTTCATTGGGTCAGATCATAAAAAGTAAAAAAAAAAAAAAAAAGTAATTTAAATTCGGTCACTTTTCTCCCTCATCCCTCCATCCATCTTTGAGGATTTAGTGGAGCTTTTTACACTGACAGTAGTTGCTGGGTTGCTTAAAAAGCTCCTTTAAGGACGCTCCGTGGGTACCATGTAGTTCAGTTTGCTTGCTATGGATATCTGCTCCTTGTTGGACCAACAAGCTGTGTTAGCAGTTTCATTCATGCTCTTCCCACTACATGATAATTAGGGTTGGGAATTGAAAAGATTTTCACGATTCCGATTCCCTTTTCGATTCTATGAAACGATTCGATTCTTTATCGATTCTTTTTTCGATTCCAATTTGGGGAAAAAAGGAGAACAAACAGTTTGATTATCAGCATCAACTTTGTTTACTTTACTAACTATTGCACAATCTTACAAACTCAACAAGATCAAGATGTCCACAGGAAATGTGAAACTGGAGTAACATCTGTGTTTAAATGAAAAATGAATACAAGAACAAACTTAATAACCAACAATGTCTAATAACAAATGATGGGATAATAACCTATTTTAAATAACAAAAAATACTAATTATAAAACAGTAGTAGGGAAAATGAACAGTTCTTTTGCAGAAAGATGAGCATATCTGCTTTTTCTGAAAGGATACGGGATCTTTCAGGGCTTATGGTGTCTCCAGCCGTGGAGAACACCCTCTCAGATGGGGTGGAGGAAGCCTGCACACAGAGGTAGTTTTCAGCCAGTCCAGATAGCAAGGGCAGCGTATCTTGCTTGTTCCACCACCACAGTGTGGCGCTATCCCTGCAGGGGATGGAGGGCAAGCTTTTATAGAGCTGGATTTCCTGATCTACCCTCTGGGCTAAGGAAAGACGGGGCTTTGATTTACAAAGTGACCGCAGCTCGTTGTCTTCCTCCTCGAATAGTTCTTCCAACTTGCGTAACTTGCGTAACTTACGTAACGTACGTAAAAAACGTGACGTAAGTCGTGCTCCCCAGAGCCGGCGCTCTAGGCTCTGGTGCTGCGGGAATCGAAAAAAGAATCGTTCAGCGAGCTGCCAAACGATGCCATGGAATCGGAAAATACGGAACCGGTTCTGAACAGGAACAGGTTTTCGATTCCCATCCCTAATGATAATATGCCTTGGGGCAGTGCACTTAACCTCAGGTTGCCTTCATACATATCTGAAGCACAAACAAAAAAGGTTTTTACTCAAAATGTATTATATTAAAGCAAGGGCGTAGGTTTGATTTGAACTTTGGTAGGGACACTCTGGTGTCATTGGTGCTATGCAATATGCCCTTTTTTATGCTCGATGTGAGCATCCGCACTGATAAGAGGAATTCATTGTTAAAAGAGAAAAGCAACATTTTGCTCCATTAATAAAAATGTTATAAGCTCTACACTCATTAGATGCTGTTTATCAATGTTTGAAGTATCAGCGGCTCTGATGAATGTGGAATTAGGACTGTTTTCCACTTTGAAAACGGTTTCATTTGAACGACTAAGAGAGAAGTTAAATACAGGATTTTCTTTTGAAGATATAGAATTGTGCAGAGTTAAACCCCACTCTTATATTTTTACCTACTATTCTCTCTCTGTATCAAGCAAAATAATACATTCATTAAAATATTAACTTCACTATAAAAGTTGAACATCTGGGCTGTAGTTACTCTGTGTAGCCCATTTCATGTACTTCATCTGGGGCTGAAAAAAATGAATCATATTAATTGATTATTTCAATAATCGTCAACTAATTTAGTAAGTGATTCATCATTAACTGGAGCATAGAGACTTTAAAACATACAGTAATATAAATGTAAAATGTGCCTTTCCCCACAGAGCAACCCACTTAGATTAGTTATTATATCAAAATTGTAAAAATATAAACAAAAAAATTAAAACAGTAATATCAACTAAATATCGGTAAAAAGGAAACCCTCACATTTTCCTTTTTAGTTGGCTGTGGCTAAGAATCAGAAATGTTGATGCTTACAGCCTTTATTTGCCCATTTTTCCAGCAGTCTTCAGAACTCCTGGCTGACCCAGAATATTTCGTTTTATAAAAGAAAAAAAAAGGTTTTTGTTTTTTAGTGCACATGATATTCATTTTTTTATTGGGACTAGTTTTGTAGCCTAATATTAATTGTAGTAACCGCTGCATTCTAGTGTGAATACATTTTCAATGTTGTGCTCCAAGCACACGCGGACTAGAAAACAGCCAATCGGAGAGAGAGAAGGTGGAACTTAAGGCAGAACAACCAATGAGAGTGGAGTTAAACAGCGCAGCACAGTTCCATGCGCTGCTACATGAAAGGGACAGGAGAGACCAGGCAGAGGAGCTGCGAGAGGAAAAGAAGCCTCTGCTGCAGTAACTACTGCTGTAAATCATAAACATGTTGCTCACATCCAATTATTGGTAGGGACAATTAGGTCGGTTCGAAATTTTGGTAGGGACATGTCCCTATGGTCCCTATGCAAACCTACGCCCATGTATTAAAGATAGTCTCCACATGCAAGGAATCAATAGCCTGACTTTATAGTCATTAGCAAATTTGGACGATCTAAGGACAGAGAGCATCCAGCTCATGATTTCTCCTCTTACAGAAACATTCAGCGTGAAAAAAAAAAAAAAGAAACCCAGTATATTTATACATTATATAAAGTGGTCACTTTACTAAAATAGGTACACATCAAAAGCCAGACTGAAGAAGAAAATATATTTTTTTCAATGCATGTGAAAATCGTCGCTGCAGGCTCATCCAGGAGGAGCTTGTCTTTCAAGTCAATGATTGGATACAATAATCTGGTTTTCCTTGGTAGAAACGTTTAACCATTTGATTGTGTTGTCTCTGTAAAGTGCCCTGAGATGAAACATTGTTAACTGACGATTTTTAAATAAACTGAATTGAATTGAAGAATCATGCATCCTCCACCAAAAGTGCTCTGTTATTTTTTTTTTTTATAAACTGTAATAAAACATGTCATATTTAATACCCACATTAAAGAAAAATGTCAAAATCTGCCGGTAAAACATAATGCATGTTATATTATGGCACTTTCTGTTCCTTCTACGAACCTCCTAAAAGTTTTATGTTGACTTTCAATCACTAGCACATTCACAATGCTACTACAGCACAATTACCTAGGCTAGCATAGCAACCAGACTGGTCTGTCAACAGGACTGTGACAGAAAATCTGATCATAATCCTGATAATCTGACTATATAGATTATGCATTTTGAGGATTACTCTCTCACTTAAAAAATAATCTTTAAATGACTTTTTAATGACCTGCACTTTCTACACAAATTCAAAAGTTTTCCATTTGTTGAAACTGACTAAACTGACTCCACAGATTAAGTTTTAAGGTGTAATTTTTAGGCTTAAAACTATCTTGAAAATTATGTTGTGACAAACTCAAAGTGTAAAAAACCATTTGTACACTAAGTTTCATCCATTAATGATGCAGCAGGTGGAACGTGCAAACCTTCAGCCCATTAAAAAGCCTTGGGAAAGCTAGATTAGGTCTATATTAGGGCCAAAGTAAAGCTGTGGAAAGTGAAATGACCTCAGTAAATGTGAACAGGAACGCTGCCCGGGCTTCTCAAAAGCTCAAGGCTTTTCAGTGGCAGCGGAAAAGATTCAACTACCAGGGTGGGATACTCAGGTTTAGGGCTGCAACTAATTATATTATTCTAGTAGATTAATCAGTCGCTGCTTTTTCTATTTGATTAATAATCTGATAGCAAAGCTTCCTTAAAGATTTTTTACAAAATTAACCCAGGTGAAAATAAATCTTCAGTTCTGGATAGAACATATTAACAGACGAATGCAAAACATTGCTTTATTTAATTATTATTAATTATTTTACTATAATTACTACTAAGTGGGTTACTTTCTCAGGTAAAGACATGTTATAGAGTTGATTAATTGATTACTATATTAGCTGATTATTTAAATAATTGATTAATTTAGGATAAATCTGATGAATTGTTTCAGCCCTACTTTGGTTAACTTTCTATTCAGAAAGATAAAAAAACAAGTAACTTAAAATCATTGTTAGAAGGCTAAGTTCATAGGTGTTTGGGTTTTTTTTTCCCAAGTTGCCATCATTTTGTTTAAACTCTTATTTAGTTTTATTTTTCCTGAGGTTTTCTTTAAATGCTTAGAACAGCATGAAACGTAGGGCATCTATTTGTTTCCAAATCCAATTTTGTGATATGACCATAATATGTGGATAGGATCTTGACAAACGCTATAAACAGCCAGCGTGTTCATAGTCGTCAGCTATCTAGTAGAGATCACTTACATGTTGATGTACACCATATTTGTATATGTTCATCAGATAGACGCCCATTTGGAAAATTGTTCTTCCTGTGTATTAAACTCTTTTTATCTGTATCGGCTGCACGTTGATATCTTTGCTCATTTTAAAAGCATTTATGCCAACTTCACTAAAATACTTAATATCAGTCCCAGCATCCAATTTGCTGAAAGGAAAATAGCTCCTAAATCTTCTAAAAGTAAGTTTGGCTGTTAAAGATTAAATAGCTGGTTAGTCCTAATTCTGTTAATCTGTTTAATCTAAAATTTGGACTGGTAATAGTTTTTAGTTGGATATATTTAGATCATTTCTTTTTTCTTTCTTTCTTTTAAACCATTAAAGGGTATTGAAATGTTTCCATTAAACATGTGCTCTAAATGATTTATACCTTTACTGTTGGAGGTCTGGCGGATAATCCCAATTCCACCTGAGAGTATTTTATGGCGGATGTAATTCACCAAAACCCATAACTTGTAGGGTTTTGGTGAAGTGTTTGAACTTACAGTATATGTTATAAAACATGTAGATGTGTGGGAATCTAAGATTTGGAACTGAATCGGGGTTGTGTTAACAGCGATCATAGAGAATAAGTAGTTTCTTTTAGGGAGGGTCTTCATTTTTAATCCAGATGCTTCCTGTACTTTTCTAGTAAAATAGTTCAACTGAGTCAACTTATGTTTATGCATTTAGCAGACGCTTTCATCCAAAGCGACTTACAAATTAGACACAATGCTACAGTTATCATCAATATGAGAATAAATTCTCTTGAGGTAAATCTCTCGTCAGAATCAGTGGTGAAAGCACAGAGAAATACAGAAACAGTAGAGGGGTATACAGGTATGGGTAAGAGTTAGGATAGGTGATACTCTTTGAAGATGTGGGTCTTTAAAAGTTTCCTGAAGATATAAAGGGACGCTGCTGTTCTTGTAGCGCTTTGTAGGTCGTTCCACAGTCTGGATTGTCTTAAGCATGGCTTAGGCACTGATAGACGCCAATCCATTGATGACCAGAGTGATCGAGTTGTGATGCAAGCCTTTGTTGGAGGGTGAGGGGAGCCGTACCATTAAGCACTTTGTAGGCTAACATCAGGAACTTGAATTTGATGCGGGCAGCCAGGGGTAACCAGTGAAGCTCAATGAACAGAGGGTTGGCGTGAGACTTTTGGGGCTGATTGAGACTAGACGCACTGCCGCCTTCTGGATCATTTGTAAGGATTTTACTGTACCGGCTGGCAGGAGTGGGTTACAATGGTCCAGATGGGAGATAACCATAGACTGCACCAGGATCTGGGTAGCATGTTGGGTTAGCTATGGACAGATCTTTCTAATGTGTAGTAATGTGAAGTGACAAGATTGAGAAACTGAGGTAACATGATCTTTAAACATCAGCTGGTCATCAATCATGACACCCTAGTTTCTTGCTGCCTTTGATGGACTTTTCCTGGGAAAACAAGTTACACATTCCTCCAGTTTGAAAGATTGATGGCCAAAAACCTGGTGTTACAGTAATCTGCAATAATTAGGGATGTGTCGTTAAATCTTTGTCATTTCTGAAAAAATACCAGTTTTGTAGCTTTGAGTATTGAATGATATCAATAATGACCTGATGTGATATCAGTGGGAATCATACATAATTGATAACTCATTTTGTGGTGTGGAATGTTAAAAAACGATTTGAAAATTTATAAGATAATGCCAAGATCTACACAACCAAATGCTCTAAGAGATCTATAAAAAGTGAAGTTGATATATATTCATTATCCAAAGCAGCCGCTTTTGTAATATAAATTATTCTTCTAATTTAACTAAAGCCTAACTTACATAGAGATGATTAATAGAACCCAGGCGTTTATAGTCTATTTGATAAAGAGCTAGTTATATCAGAGGCTATTTGCTTTTCATGGGATAAGTTGCTAAAATAATGAGTGCATCACAATATTTAGACATAGTTTTCAGTCAAGGTGATTCCACTATTTTAGTTAACGTAGCTTGAATCTTAGTTCTTTTATTTCTCACTTAAACTGTACATAATTGTCGTAAATGTGTTTCCAGATGTGCACACTGAGGCCGTGCAGGCTGCACTGGCGAAACATAAAGAAAGAAAAATGGCTGTGCCGATGCCTTCTAAGCGCCGATCACTGGTGGTTCAGACCTCCATGGATGCCTACACACCGCCAGGTAAGGACCGAAGCTCAGAATCACAAAGCTAAGCCCAAATTCTTCATCTTAGCAGCATCTGTCTTTTGACTGGAAGTAAAAACCATCTGGAGCGACTCAAAGGTAGTCTGGACTGGCAATGTGTGGGAAGTTAAAGATCAGGGTTATGGTTTGGAGGCGTTTCAACTGCAAAGACTTGGAGCTCATCAGCAAAAATAATAAAAGAAAGTATGCAAACAGCAGGTGATAAGGGGTGCATTTGCTATGATGCTCTTCCATTTATTAATGGGGCTATAAATGGTATATTTTCATAAATAAAATATAAATACAATCAGTTTTATTTTGTGTTAATTTTTTAGTATCTCACTAGATCAACCAATGTAGCCTACTTCCTTGTTGCAATTTTAAATGTATATGAATGATATTTGGCTTGATTATAATGCCAAGGTGGACTTAAAATAGTCAGATTATTACTTGCATAATCTCAATTTAATAGCATATTATTACAGAGGAATTCTCAGGGATTACAGCTCTTCAGCCAGTCCAATCCTAATTTTTGTTCAATAGGGTTTCTTCGACAGCATCCAGTTGTAATGGGGGTTATTTACGGCTCCAGCTGGTGGGTTTAGTGCTGTGACTGATAGAGTTATAAAAATCAAACATGGCTTCTGTTTTTCCTGCTGCACCTGAAACAGGATCTGACCTGCTGGGTGGTGGAGATCGCAGCGGCCCATGTCTTTATCGTACTGCTGTCGTTTAACGAGTGTCTTAACGAGGCCATTACCTGCCTGGCAGAAGAATCGAGCCTCACACAGCTTTATTAGAAAGGGATTGCCCTCAGCAGGAAGTGGACTAAGTTTACTTATTCAAAGCTATAAAACCCACAGAATAGATGGCTGCTAAAACAACTTCAGGGTTGTTTCTCTAAAAGACATTAAGCAGCAGAGTTGCCTTTAAAAGCATCTCCTAATTTTCCACTTTTTAGTAGCATCCTTTTTACTCTTGTTTATCGATAATAAACTGCTTTTACTTGGTGAAGAAAGTTTGAATCAGTGTTTCCCAGAATGTTTGAGCTCCTTAGCTTTCATTAATACTCTAATGGGGTATTTATAAAAAATGCTTTTTGTTTTTCACATCTGAGGATTTCGGGGGTCAGATGGAGACGTCTCCAGAGCCTCAGATCGTGTTCGGCCCACATGTCTTATACTCGAACAACACAATGTAAAAGGAGCAGCACAGTGCAGCTGCCAAATCCAACTGCAGTCTTCCTGGATCACTTAAAAAAAAATGTTTTTCTTTCAGGTCCATTCATTCACTCTCTCATGAGGGCTGGAGATGTTTTTTAATTGGCTCTTTATGTCAAGTAGCATTAGTTAGAAAAAAATTTTTAAGATGATAAGTGATGTCATAATCAATCAAATTACTTATTTTTCCCACCATTTGTTCCCTTTTTGCTCCATTTGTAGAGGATTACAGTCCTAATTAGACGCAGATGCTTATTTCTGTATGTTAGTGATGGTGACATGAGACCTCATGGGGTACTGAACCACTTGTTTACAAACCAGCACAGCAAACTCACTTAGTAAAGTTTCAGAGTGAATCCTTGAACTTTCCAAAAAAACTCCACCCCTACCTTTGAAGGTTGCCCTCACTGTCTGCAGGCTGGGTGGGGCCGTACAGTATGTTTATCTGTATGCAAGCATACTCGGGGTGTTTAAGTCCAGGATATGTATGAAGTGGTAAATTCATGGGTTGGGTGGGTCATCCTCATAAGTGCTGAGACAGACAGGTTTCTTACATAATATGTGCAAATAAGGACATAAATGTGTCACAGCTAACGCAGCCAATCCCCTTAATGAAATTCAGCTCATGGGCCTACATGCATTAAAGGAACCAGGGGCAGGAATTGTGAAAGAAAACACATGCATGTCCAGTTTTTGTTATTGCTAATGATGAAGCACTAAAATACCAAAAGCAATGAGCCCATCCATCTCTCCTATGTTTTGTATAGGCAGTGTGTGGCATAATACGCAATAAAACGGGCCGGATACCCTGTACAGACTTTTACAGCCTACAGAGTAAGACTTGATTGACGTGGTTATTGATGCCGTCTTAAAGGGGAACACAGTTTTCTTTTTTACATTGGGCCTTGATTTTACGTTATTACATCATGTTCTACTCACCCATATTAGTTTTGTGTCATTTGGAGCTGTACTGAAGAGATTCTGTTAGGTTATATCCAAGTAACGTCTTCCTATGGGCAACGACTTGAAGGCACAAACTAAGCTGTTCATAATTTATTCTTTATGGTACGCCAGCATTCATAACATGTAGGCGAATCACTGTCCCCCAGACATCCGTTGTTATATTTTTTATATTTATATCTTTTAAAAACATAGCGGCGTGTGTATGGCGTCATCTGCACGCCGGACTGGAGTTGTGACAGGCAGCCCAGACCACAGGCGGCTACGCTCTACCCCTACTATTCATTCGGCTACCTAATCTGTTCGTTCAATTCCATTTCTAGAGCGAGATCATCTGTGGTAGTAGCACTAGACATCTTCCAGGCATGTGAGTAAAACTAGCAGCAGTTCAGAGGACAGGATGAATGAACGTTTACCGGCGTGCGCGGATGACGTCATACACATCCCGCTGTTTTAAAAAAATAGTTATATAAAAAATATAACCGTGGATGTCTGGGGGACAGTGATTCGCCTACATGCTATGAATGCTGGCGTACCATAAAGAATAAATCATGAACAGTTTAGTTTGTGCCTTCAAGTCGTTGCCCATAGGAAGACGTTACTTGGATATAACCTAACAGAGTATCTTCAGAAAAGCTCCAAATGATGCGCAACTTATGAGTGAGTAGAACATGATGTAATAACGTAAAATAAAGGGTCCAATGTAAAAAAAACGGTGTCCCCCTTTAAATATGCACGGTGGTCTCATAGCAAACCGTCAGTTAGTAAACAGCAGTACAGCATCACCAGTGCAGTGCTGTGAATATGTCCTGTCTGTGCTTCTGCAGACACACCTTAAAAGTGACTAAATTTGACCGAAGCGATCAGAAACAGGTCCACATATGAGGAGGAGGGAGGCTGCATGTGCATGGAGATCAAACCATAAGCACGCAGAGAAGGAATGAGGACTAATGTGTTATATCGGGGCCGGGTGGAAGCCTATCTGTGCATGTAAAACATTAAACATGCATGCAAAGAGTAGGTTATTAGTGTCTGTATGAAATACAGCTGCTTGTAGGAGTATTTATTTGTGCTCCCTTTTGGTAGAATCTTGACACTATACTCTATTTCATTTAATGCCGATATGCACTGGTAAGAGCTGTGCAAATCTTTATTCCTCTCTAAATTTTCTACCTCTATCCAGAACCTAACAGCAACTCTCTAACAAACACCCACATTTCGACTGTATAATGAAGCCGTTTAAAAGCCTGTCGAAATGAGGCCTCAACCTCGTCCCATTTGGGTCCTCCACTAAATGAAGCAAGCTTTGATAGTTTTGCAGGAAAGCCCCCTTCATTACTCAACAAATTACGAAGCCTCTGTTCATCTCATAACGTCACCACCCTACATTAACATCACTGTTTTCAGCAGTTTAGTCTGTAGTTTAATGCGCTCATTAGACATTCTGTGGTGCTAGTTTGACTGCTGTTTTATAAATCAAACTGATTAAAAAGTTTAAAATAATTTTATGTATTTATTTTTGCTCTATTTCCATCTCTGTGTAACAAAGATATTGAGAAATTAAAGTATTTTTATTTCCTTTTACTCATTAAAACCTTCATAAATCCATGTCTGACTTTCTTCAATATTTTCCAGCTTTTCTAAATCTGGGTATTAAAAAGTTCCTTGAACACACAGAAGGAGAACTTTGTGGATTAATCCACATTTGGTGTTGTCGTGAGTCTGTTATTTTCACAATTAATCCTCTTTTTGCTCTGACTAATCAACTCTAATGTTGTAGAGTGCAGTGCTGTGGCTCGCTGTGGGGCTTTTCGTTCTGTGGACACAAAAAGAGAAATAATCTGACTAAATGGTTGTTAGATAAGAGTTGAAATGGTTCAGGATGATCATGCAGCCTGTTGTTGGTCCAAGTTCTGCCACCTTATTCCTAATTTGGGTTTATTTTCCTTACAGTACCAGGTTGTATTTATCACATGACTGCATGTATTCGCTGATGATGCAGTTCAGATGTTGAGAAAATCCCTCGGCAGCTAATGCTTTGCAGATTTTTTTTTTTTACTTCAAGGTTAAATGATATAGACACAATAATCTGATGGTTCCCCTTTAAAAAATCTCCCCAAGTCCTCCAGAATTCTGATTCCTCTCTGCATATTCTCATTTTTTAGCTAAGCTTACAGTTTTCTGTAAGATTTTGGACCCACAGCATCACAGGTCCTCCACTATGCCTTTCAGTTTTGTTTTTCACCTGATCCACATGCGGGTGTTTTTGTTGTAAAGGTTATTCTTAATGAGCTGTTTTTATTGAGCAACTTTTATAGAGAAAACCATGACAAAACAGTGAACAGAAAACAAAACAGATATTATAACTGAATTGATCATAAATATAAAGTCAAATGAAACAATAAGAATGACAAACATTCAACTAAAGGCCTGTTTAAAAAGGAAGGTAGGCTGTAAAGCTACTGTGTTCCACAGGCCTGGTGTATTGGCCTGAACATTTAAATAGTAAAAGCTCTATATAAGTACAGACCGTTTAACATTTTATGTTACTTAACTAATTTCTTGATATTTTAAAATGAACTTTTCCCAAAAGTTTTATATAATCTGTTAAATACATATTCTCTTTAAAATAGTAGGTTCAGAATCACTTTTGTATTTATTGCATGTCTACAGAATCTATAATGTATGGAATGTGTCCAGACCCCACCCCCCAACACACGCACACACATCCAGCTTTGTTTTCATGACATATGTGGACGTTTTATCGACTTGCATTCATTTTATATGGCCTAACCCAGACCCTTACCCTAACCCTAACTATTACCAAGATGTACCTAATCCTAACCTAAACTGAATTCACACCTTAGTCCTAAACCTAAACCCAACTCAATGAACAGAACTTTACCATATAGGGATCAGTTGAATGTCCCCATATGTACCTGTAAGTCCTTGTATATAGGATATTTTTAAAAATACTTCCCTCACATTGTAGGTAAAACAAGACTACACACACACACACACACACACACACACATTTTTCCCCCAGATGGGATTGATTGAACGATACCGTGCAGAGATGACAAGGAAAGCAGATCTCTGATGTGCTCTTGTTGAATTTGACTGAATCCAGACCTTTCTCAACATTAACACATCATGGAGCAAATGAAGAGCTGCTCTGCATTAAAGATGTTCAATTTTTTTTTTTTTTTTTTGTCTGTTTATTTCATGAGCTCATGAGTTGCCTGGTGAAATCTGTTTTTCCAGAGCTTGTTTGTGCTGCTTCACTTTAAGCACTGAAGGGTTGCTGCTGACATGCAGACGCACGTTTGCTAATCAAGCCTATCAGCACGGCATCCTGGGAGTAAATATCTTGAGACTGAGTGCTGTTCCATAACATTTCCAAGTGCAAGTGTCAGACTTTCCTTGTTTCAACATAAAGCCTGGTTTTACATATCCAGAAATGTTTGACCTTAAACAAATCCACATGTGGATCTCCAAGTTCTCAAACACGCTCGGATATTAATTACTCTGTGAATAAAAAGGTAAAAGATTAAAATAAAAATCCATAATAATTCTATCCATATAGTTTTTTTTTAAGGTGGTCTTATTTTTTTACCTTTTTATTGTTATTCTCAAGTTTCTTTATTAGTCAACGTTCTTTAAAGGAAGCTGAAAAGTAGGGCTGAAACAATTCATCGGATTAATCACGAATGAAATAATCGTCAACTAATATAGTAATCGATTAATCGTTAACTGGAACCTTTGGCTATCTGATTATTAATTGAAAAAATTATCAACAGATTTATCGATTTGCAATATAATTGTTAGGTACAGCCCTGCTGAAATGTACAAGAATCCATAAGAACACTTATGGATTCTGGTACACTAGGGATAAAAATACAAAAACAAATCAAAGTATAATTTACTTAATTTAACGTAAATGCTGGGAATTTACACCTCCTGTTCTTAATTTTTCCATTTTTTTCTGTCACAGTACTGGTCAAACACAGTCAAATCTTTTTTCATCACCATTTTCTTGTCGCTATTTCCGGTTTAAACATACATTGTGGAAATTAGGAAAATAAAAGGAAGAAAACCAATATAAAATGTAGACATTTCCCATCTAGTCTCTCCCACTGCAACAGGATTGTTTTCTATAAATTCATACCAGAATCCAGACCTTCTATTCTTGAATACTAATTTTCCTTCTGTTACATTAAGGTCTAAATGTTTGCTCTAAACATGGTGCAGGAGGTTGTAGTGAACCTCTCATGTCACTTTGAGTCCCATCGTCCTACCAGGATGTTTCTAGCAATCCTAATCCAAGCATCTCTTCAATGAGATTAAAACGTTTTTGTTTGAGGGCCAGTAGTTTCTGTTTGTGTTGTAACTTATTACTTTCTCCGTTATTAACTTCAGATTTATGTCAGAGATTTTTCTTTTTAAACGATAAAAGTCCTACGTTAGTTAAACATGATAAAAAGCTAAGCTTATCTGGCCATAAGGAAGAAGTTGATGTGTTCCTGGAAGTAGCTGTGTTGGATTGTTTAAAGATTTAGATGCAAAATCAGGTTTCCCCTTTGTCATTTCATGGTTAAACTTTTTATTTTATTTCATTTCAACCAAAAAAATGTATAGAGATTTAAACTTTTTGATTAAAATGCACTTTTTAAGTTTTTCTGTGCCATTTAACTCAGAACTTTTTAGGTTTTTAACCTGAACTCAGTGGATAATTCTGAGCTAATTCGACATATGACACAACTTAACCTAAAAACTATTACCGGTAAATTGTATGTTAAGAAACATTAATAGTATTTATAAAATTATCTTTTAATGGCTGTCATGCTGTCTGTGTTGAGCCTTTCTTCTCTGATCACCCGTCTTCCTGGTTCTCTTTTTCAGACACTTCCTCTGGATCTGAGGGGGAGGGTCAGGGCGATGGCGACGAGGAAGTAGGAGGAGATGGAGAAGAACAGGATGGCGGAGGGGGAGGAGGAACTTCATCCAGCAGAGAGGGTAGCATCAGCATGGAGCACTGGATCAGCAGGGCGGTCCACGGCACATCCTCCACCACCACCACCTCGTCCACCGCCTCCTCATCCTCCTCTTCTACTCGTAGCGGAGGAAGCGGGGCGGCCGCTGGCAGGCTGGCTGATGTGCTGGCCCAACACGTCCATATCTCCTCCCAGCACCACCTTCGCCACCATCGTCATCATCATCATCACCGTCATCAAAAAACAGGTGAAGTTCTGAATACATTCTCTACGTCAGTCACTGAGCTGCATTTAGGGACGTTTTCCTCCTACAAAGCTGGATGTTTGAATCCTTACCTTCAACATATGTCAGATATCTTGTTAGTAATATTTAGCGTATCCAAGCTTTTTTGGAAATCATCTGACATTTTGTCATACTTTATTGTCAGTTATAATGACACAAAGATATTTAGGTTTAAACTAGTTATTAATACAAACAATTCATTTCAGTGTAATTATACGGCAGCAATTTACAACACACGTCATCTCAAGGAACTTTACAGACAATTCAACCAGAATATGCAGTCAGGTTGGTTCAAGGTTTTCTATCCAAGGAAAACCAGCTTATTACAGCAATCTGAATGAAGCAGAATGATGAAAGGTGGGCCCCATGTCCTCCAGCAGTCTAAGCCTATAGCAGCATAACTATAGAGATAGCTCAGGATAACCTGAGCCACTCTAACTTCAAACTTGATCAAAAAGGAACATTTTAAGCCTCTTCTCAAAAGTAGACAGTATGTCTGCCACACAGACTAAAGCTGGTTGTCGGTTCCAAAGGAGAGGAGATTGAAAGCTAAAAGATCTGCCTCCCATTCTGTTTTTAGAAAGGAACCACTAGTAAAGCTGCAGATTGAGATTTAGGTGCGCTGTTAGGAAATTAAGGAACATTCGGAGTTTGACCATTTAAGGTTTTATATGTGAGAAGCAGAATTTTAAATTCTATTCTGAATTTAAAAAGAAGCCAATGAATAGAAGTTAGGATAGGAGAGATATGATCTCTCTTTCTAATTTTCATCAAAACTCTGGCTGCAGCATTTTGGATCAGATGAAGGATTTTAACTTCCTGATAGTAAAGCTTATATATAGAATTGAACAGAGGCATCTTTCTTCATCCTGACATCAGAATTGACCTCTGTTAGAAAAAAGTATTTCCATTTGCTATTAGTTATTAGTTCAAATCCTGACCTGAGGCCTTTCTGGGGATTAGATTCACCTCTCCACTCACCTAAAGAGGGCTGTAGAGCGACATCAAACCACTCCCTCCCTATATGGATTACATATGTATATGGGGAAATAATTAACATTAACACCCCAAAATGTTTAAACACATCTGTAAAATACATCTCAAATTAAATTAGACTCTGTTCTTAAAGCTACAGTGTGTAATAATTACAGGGATATACAGTCAGAAATGTAATATATTATACATAACTATGTTATTTTATCATCATCTACGAGCTCAGCCTCTTAACCTTAATATTTGCGTTGCCTTAGAATTCGTTATTTATAATTACATAGGAGCGGGTCTCGCAGCCATGGAGGCAGACATCTTTGCACTACGGCAGCGCAGAGCCAACAAACTAGTGATTGCGAGATCGCCAAAACGTCACAACGATGTAGAAAAAATAACGGGTATATTTATTATCTTAAGTCTACATGAAATCTATACCCTACACAGACTAATGAAATACTATCTGTAAAATTATCTATGTAAACAAACCTCATCACTTGAGAAGGTAGGTGATGCGGACGTCGTGGAAGACATTTTGTCCCGTAACGCTCGCCGTACTGTTGGGGGGGAGAAGCGGTGGGGGGGAGATGTTCATGTTGCTGCAGTCTGACCGCTAGATGTCGCTAAAAGTTACACAGTGTAGCTTTAAACTATCTAGAGCAGATGTAAACACCTGGTCTGTCTTTAAAAGTCATTTTCTCAATAACTGACCCGAGCAATCAAACATATTTTAAATTTTTCCTAAGGCCTAGATTTCCTATAAATGTGTGTGAAGGACTAAGGTACAAATCAATAATCAAATGATGCTATAGAGACAAGACTGAGTTAATTAAGTTTAAAATTGTTAAGAATAAAACAAAAATGTACATACTAAAGAGGGTGTATCTGTGGGTATATCCAAAATTTTGCTCTAATATCTAAACAAATATTAGACCATTACAAGAATTGATTACGGAGAAGTCAAAGGGGAACAGTTTTCCTGTTCTCCTCCATATTGAAAGTGTTTGCAGACATATGAAGCAAATTCTTCTCTAGTTTATGAGCAGGTAAGAAAACCCTCTTTGCTCAGTTTCAGTGCTGTGTGACAGCGGAAAAACGTAAACACTTTGCGTCTTGTTGCAAACCCACACATAACGCTTGGCTTGAAGTAGGAAAGAAATATTTGCTTTAAAGCTGAAGTTCCATAGAAACGAATCATACACGTACTGTTGGTTAACCCTTTTAATGAAAGGTTTCACTTGAAATTTGCCCCATTCCTCCTTACAAGGCTTATCCATAGAAGATTAAGGTTGGGCATCACAGAGGATCTCAGAAAATAAATCCAAAATATCTGCCTTTAAATGGGATAGTGAAATGACAGAGAGGCTTCAGCTGGTTTAACCTTCATGTCAGATTATTGCTTCTTACACCCCCCCTTTTGGAATAACCAACAGGCCACTTTAAGGCTTGTTTTATGGAGTTAAACCCCCCCTGAGGACATTTGGAAGATCTCTGAATCACAGATTGAGAGGAAGGAGACCAGCTGAGCCTCAGAGCTGCTCGCTTTTAAAGCAGCTTTCCTCCAGGTTATTCTTAGCTGTTTGCAGCCCAGCTTTCCAATAAAAGTGAGTAGATCTGCTTTCACAGAGTGGCTGGGTGGGCTTACTATTCAGGCTTTGATGTTTATTGGTGTTAACTGGCGGGTGTTGGATGATAACTGGTATTTATATCCCTGTGAAAGGCGTGTAAATGGAGCCTGCTTCCTGTTTGAACCCCGAAGAAACCTGTTTAAAATCAAATTGTGACCACCTCAGATGCATATCATGAAGTTTTGTCTCTTATTTTTTCAGATTAATCTGTTGGGGGGATCTCATTTTTTTTTTGTCCTAATAATCCACCGAAGGTTTTTTTTCTTTTGCCATAGAAAAGTTAATAACATAAGGATGAAAACATATAATCCATCCCTGTAATGATACCAGTCCACCATTTTAGATCATCTACGTTGCGTGGTCATATTCATTTACCTATTTACTCCTTACATTGAATGTAACTTTCATTTTGAATATCCACATTAGTATGGAAAATTCCTGCATGTAAAAAAAGGCCCTCCCCTTGTGCATGTTTCACATAGTATTATTCAGCTGCCGCTCGACAATATAGTGACTAATCGACTTTTGATTGACATATTTTGTTAGCCAATAATCTTAGCGTTGATATATTGGAAGCGTAGGGGTGGTCTAAAAAATATAGGGTTTATTTACCTGGGTGAAGAGTGAGAGGAGAACCTAGCGGTTCTAGGTGATTGAATGAAAATTTATGTAAATCTAAACATATAGATTTATTTTTTTATGGTCAAATTAGTCATAAAATTCAAATAAATCAGTTTGGAACATTTGGTCCAAATTTGGCACAATTGTGCCGAATGGATCTTTTACATACAAAAAGGATCAAAAGCCTCATTGACACTACCATTTTGAAACCATGCCTAGATCTGTCAGAGCACGGTAACCAAGATAACCGTTGGGTGTAAATGGTATGCGCAACTGAACTGGACCGTAGCAGACTCAACCCAGCCGTGCTAAACTGGTACTAGTTCATCAGCAGGGCTCCGGTTGGTTCAGTTCTGGCTCAGTTCTCAGATAACAAAGAGTGCATGAGCAGACCGCATCATCTCCTTACAGTCAGCCTCTATAATAGTGAAGCTTTAAACATTTATAAAAACTACCTACCATGCCACACGATTTCCAGTGATGATTCTGCTTAGTAGTGTGATGAACCTCAACGCCTGTCATTGTTTCCTATGTCTCTATGCCCTGATCAGACTATCATCTGTCGTATCAATTACCAAAAGCCGATTCTGTCAAGTAAATTCACCAAAGCCTGCGTTCTTCGCCTGACTCTGAAAAAATATCGAAATGATAACAAAACATAATTTCCTGAATATTATCCGCCATCATGGTTTGCTTGTTTGCCTCTAGAGAGGAGTAGTACCGATAAAATCTCTTTCAGTGCAGGTATGAATCAGGCCCACTGTGGCTTTATAACTGTTATTTCTACCTTTTTCCTGTCGCTTGCTGGGGCGGCGTCATTACTAATCACTGTGGCGGAGGGAGGCCTGCTTGTTGTCCCGCTGACGCGGCTGCTGTCCAGTTCTGAAGGTATCTCACAGACAGATGCACACAGAGCTTCCTGCCAGCTCCACCCAGCCATGGCCCGGGTCCTCTGCACGCCGTCCGTTTGCTGGTTCCTCTTGTTTGTTTGGGCTCGTTCCCGCTGATTTCCTGCGTCACTGTTCCCTGCAGTCTGACATTAGTGGAAAGTTGTTTCCAGGGAAGCGGCAGCAGAAAAGCGTCGGGGCCTTGACGTAAAAGCACTCAGCCGTCCTCGGATAAATGAAACAAGGAAAAAACAGGGTGGTTAGAGGTGACAGGCTGGACTTTTAGGTGTGATAAACTAAAATCAACTGAATGAATCCGATGTTTGAGGTTAGACTTACTCATTTCTAACATTGCTTCTTTCAATTTTCAGCAGCTAAAAGCAACAATTTACACACTGTTTTTAGATGTTATTAAAAATATTTGTAGTTGAAGGTAAACTGCCCTCTTCACAAAACATCTGAATAAGTCAAAAGCTTTAAATGGCTTTTACTTCAGAAGTAAATCAATGTTGATTCTGGATGTGAAGAAAAGACTTGTTCAGTCCACCTTCCTGCCACTGCTGGATTATGGAGATATTCTGCTCTTCCTCTTTAGTCCTCTGCTGCACGGGCATACTTTTTCACAGTGCACAAGGCTTCATAACCAACTCTGCATACAGAACCCATCACTGCCAGCTGTACTCGCTACTCTGAGGACATAAAAGCACTGCCTGATATTCCTTTATAAGACCATTTGGGGCAAACTGCCCTTATATCTAAGTGGTCTTCTGCCAATAACTGTTACAGCTGCTCTCATTGGCTTCTCCTCACTGTCCTGAGGTTCTCAGATTTGGGCTAAACT